TTTCATAGCAGCAGTTCCACTGGCTTTGCCAGAATTGGAACTGGAGAGAAATCTGTTTTTCCTTTCCCTTTTCTCTGCTTGGCATCTCTCTGCCTGTCATTTCAGGCTCTGATGTTTTATAGGTGGAGGGGCTGTAGTAGCAATCCTCCTGGAATGTATGTTGCTCTTACCTACCCCACCTGCCTGGTCACTTTTGTGCACCCATGAAGAGAAAAGATGCTCCATGTTGCCTTGAGGGCTTGAGAGCCAGATGTTTTTGTGCAGGCAATGCCTTTGTGCCAGGGCTCTCCCCAGCAGCCAGTACAGCAGCTGTGTGACCAGCAGGACTTTGAGGTGACTTTTGGAGCATCCCCTGCTGTGTCTGTCTTCTCCCCTCCTTGCACTCCCTGGAGCTCCCCTGGCTCTGTGGGTCTCCTTTGCCCCTCCTGTACTGCATCCTTGCATGTCCTGGGACTTACTGCAGGTATAAGGGTTGGAGGCTGTTGTTCACTAATAGCATTGGCACAAATACAGCTTTGCATGGAGATGGGTCAGTTTTTGTTCATTTCTCTTTTTATATCTGTGGCCTTTATCTGTAGCCAGTGTGCTGGGCTGCTTATGGCTGCCCCAGTGGGTTCTGAGGGGGGCAGGAATGTTGCCTTGGATGTGTGAGCAGCTTCTATTTCTAAAACCCAGCAGTGGTCTTACCATCTTAGTGTGGTTTACTGTCGTGCATAAAGGAGAAATAAAAATGTCAGTCAGGATCAAGTTCTTGTCACATCCCATCCCAACACAGGGATATAGATGAGGGTGTCTGCTGAGTGGAGGTGAGTTGTGGGGCCAGGCAGTGGCTGGACCTTGCTTGCCTTCCTCCCCAGCACTGGAACCTGCTCTTGCTCCCACCTGGAGTAGTTCAGCAGTACTCTGACCCTCCTTGCACTTGCAGAGAGGTTTCTTGTTACCTCCATGAGAATTTGAATGTGGGAATGCCTTAATCCTGCTCTGTTTGTCCATCCATCTCTCAGCCTTTTTTTTTGTTTTTTGGGTTTTTTTTTTGTTTTTTTGTTTTGGCTGGGTTGGTGTTTCTGGGCTTCCCTCCAAGGGATTTGATTCCTTAGGAAAACTGTTTCAACCTCCCATGCCTCATAATGATCTTGCTCAGAAACTACTTTCATTTCTTCTCTTTTCTGGTTAATCCTTCTTAAGCAGTGACCTTTCTTTGGCTCCCCCTGGAGAGCAGACCAAGGAGGTATGTTCCTCCCTGTCTCAGTGAATATTGCTATATTGCTGGTTTCTTGGTCTTTTTTTTCTTTTTTCTTTTTTTTTTCCTTTTTTTTCTTTCTTTTTTTTTTCTTTTTCTTTTCTCCGACTGCAGGGATTTTGCTGTTTGCTCGTGCAGTAAAGGTAAAAGTTTTGATGCAGGACTGTGTGCCAGTGTAATGCTGATGGCAGAGGAGCCTGCCTTGGGACATGCCCTGGGTGCAAACCCCATTGTCTCCTGGAAGCTGGAGCGCAGGCAGCCCCCTGGGCTCTGGGGATACATCACTCTGGACAGGACCGACCCTGAAGTGGTCCCTCTGTTGAGCCTGAGCCTGGGATCTGTTCACCTTCTCCTGCCGCGGCTTGCGAGCTGGTCCCTCTGCTGCCGGACTGTGGACAGTGGGAAGAGCCTGGGGCAGTGCCCCTCCCTGCTGCTGGGTGCATCCAGATGTGCAATAGCTGTGAGCTGAGGACATGCCAAAAGCATGGTCTTCAGCCCGGGGTCAGCAGGAGTCTGGCTTGTCACGCATGCCAGGGAATGACCAGGCTCAGCAAAACCCCCGTGACACAATAACCACGTTTGTTCTCAAAATGCTGAGTTGGTGACATGGATTAACTCTTTGCTAATGCTCTTAAGAGCTAGCCTGCGGCTGAGGGAGATAAAGGAGTTTATTATTTCAAAATCAATATCCTGCTGGAGTGGGATTTCAGTGCTGTTCCCAGTTCCTGCTTTCCAGAGGCAGACATCTGCATCGAGCTGGGCACCAGAGCAGGGCACCAGAGCAGGGCATCAGGTTGTTCCTGCAGGGAGTGCAGCTTCCTCCAGGGCTCAGGAGAGGAGCATGTTCATGCCCCAGGTCAGTCCTTTCCTACTGAGGAAGGCTAAGAGGAAGGAGGAGCTAGAGGGGAAGCCACGGGGCTGCAGCTCTCCTAGCTCCGCACTCTTGGCTGGTGTTGCCCACCTTTGCTGTATATTCCCTGTGGATGACCTTCTTCAAGGGCTGCTTCTCCATCACAGCAGCCTGCAAGGCAACGCTCAACTGATGGTTTTCAAAGCTGACTCAAGTGTCTCTTGTGTTTGCACTCAGATCTCCCTGCTGGCTGGTGGGGATGCACTGAGGAGAAAAGCTTTCATGAACCAGAGGCATTTCTCCCTCCTTCTCTTGCACCCCTTTGAACCTTTTAAATCTTCCATCTGCAAAAGTGTCCCTCTCCCACACTCCCACTACTGAATTCTGAACTACAGAGAAGTTGTGGATGCCCAGAGAAATTGTGAATGCTCTGTTCCAGGAGGTGTTCAAGGCTGGATTGCATGGGGTTTGAAGCAGCCTGATCTAGTAAAAGGTGTCTCTGTCCATGGCAGGGGGCTTGGAACTAGGTGACATTTAAGGTCCCTTCCAACTCAATGATTCAGTGAACACACAGGTACTAATTTCAAGTCAGAGACTGTGGGCAATCCTCTTTGCTTGCAGAAGGTTTTGTAGACAGTACATAGAGGTGTTTTGTAACTAAATTAGTAATTGCAAGTCACTTGCTTAGTTCTCTTGCTAGTCCATCCTTCATGCAAACCAAACAGGGCTAGAGCTGTGGAAGAACAAGGTGTTTTTCAGAAGGATGATTGCGGTATTTGCTGTTTTGTTGGGTTTTTTTGCACAGTCTCCATGACATGCCTCTTCTATACTGCACTGCTTTTATTTCATAGCCCAGAGTTCCCTTTAAACACACCTTTGTTCAACCCCAGTAGCTGGGATTCGGTGCCACAGGTTTGTGAGAGCACTGTGGATGAACCTGCTCTCTCAGCAAGGGGCTTGGCACACCTCAGCAAGTCTGCACCTCCCCGGGTTTGATGTGCACAGCCCTGCATGGAGGGATGCCTCTCATTCAGCTTTAGACATCTTCACCTGTGCCAGTCCCTCTTGGTTTATCATTTGGGAAAGAATATGGTGCTAATAACACCAGGGCTGTGGGTTCAAGCTCTGTATGGGCCATTTACTTAAGAGCTGGACTAGGTGATGCCTGTGGGTCCCTTCTAATTCAGAATATTTTGTGAATCTATCCTATTTGGGACTCCAATTTTAAGGTGCACTGGAAGTTTTGGAGGTAGTCACTGAAGGCAAAGGGAGCTCCTGTATCAGTGCTTGCATTGCAGAGGCATAAAGTTTGAGTTATGCTTCTCTCAGGGGCATAAACTGAGCCAGCCTTTACTGTCATGAGCAGCTGGCCAGGTCACTTGACTGACAGCAAGAGATATGCCAGACACACAAGTCTAAAGCAATCTGTATTGTATTTTTTTGTTTTCTTTCCTAAAACATTGTGAATAACTTGAAAAGGTGTGTACCTTCCAATTTATACTTAAAAGTCGTTTGTATAATTGACTGTCATCAATAATCAGTAGTTCACAGCACTGCTGTTCAAACATGCATTTTTGCTAATTGAATAATACCTTGTTCTGAAAAAAACTCACAATTCAGTAATTTATTGATAATCTTGTTATATACACTTAAATATCCACATAAATGTTCATGTATACGTTATATATACAATATTTAAATATATACAGAGACTGCCTATTTTTCTTGCTTATTTCCAAAGGCAGGATATTCCAGGCTGGGGCATTTCACATGGACCTCATAAATTTCTGTTTTGACATATACATTGTGCTATTTCATAACCTTCATCTAGCTTCCAGATTATTAACCTTCTGTTGGCCAGAGGTTGGCATTGTTAAACTCTTCATTCCTAGCAGGCTTAGTGTTCAGGCTTTTGGCTCTGTGCTATGGCTTATCGTACTATGTACTATATTACTTATCACGTTTTATATTAAAGTCTACAGTCTTGGTACTCTAAAAAAGTGCATTTTTTGCACTGCATGGTTTCCCAGGTGAGGAAGCTGGCTTTCTGCCCAGCATTTTTTGAGGAAAAGGATTGTTGTTATTATTTTGTTCTTCTCATCCTATTCACTTAACACTTTTGTGTGGGCAGTTGTACATGCTAGTTTAGGTGACACAGATGTTGTTATGCACCCATGCCTTTTGGATGTTAAACAAGTTTAAGTTGTTTAAGAAGCTTTGGTTACTGAATACCTGGGTCTCATCTGAAAACAAGGTTATGGCAGGACTGAGGAGTCATTGAACAGATGCTGGGCTCAAATTAACAGGTAGGAGACTTTTTTTTATAAAAATAAAAAATTACTGAGAAGATAGACCAGCCCCAGAGGAATATTGTGCCATTCCAGTCTAGAACTAGATGATCTTTAAGGTCTCTTCCAAACCAGCCCATTTAATAGAGGGTACAGCAGCACGTCAGCTTGAGCTGGATGCCTTTGGAGAGGGACCATGAGTAAAGAACATGGGGAACTAAAAAAAGAGTTAGACTCAGGATAAATACTACAACTAAATAATCAGTGTATTGTCAATATTCTTCTCAGACTAAAGACAAAACACAGCACTGTACCAGTTACTAGGAAAATTAACTGTATTTCAGCCAAAAGCATATCTCTATGAAAGTCCACAGCTTGTGGCTCAAGGCTTCAGGAAGTCCAGCTGCTCATGCTAAGCAACTAAAGCTAAGCAAACAGTATTCTAAATCACACAGTATTACAACTATGACTCATTCTATTTCAAGTTTATTTAAGCTAAACAACAAATATATGTCAACACTAGGTCATTGGTTGCTGCCATAAATAAATTCACAGTAAAAGCTTCATACTTTTCAGGCTGTAATAGGAGTATCCTACAAGATGACAATGTTTGTATGTCAGCCAAAACATACAGTAGTTTGCATATAAGTTTGCATAAATGAAACTGTCTGGTAATTGAATGTCCCAAAGATGAAGACAAAGATCTTCAAACAGGCCCAACCCACACAAAAAAATGCAAGTTGCTGCTGAAGCAGTAATGAAGCAACAATTTCCAAGACTGTGTGGGATGCCTCTCTGATCCTCCAGCATCCTTACCTGTGGATGAAGTTTTTTTGTCAAGAGTTACTGATTCTCTCATTTCCAGGGAAGGGCTGCCTTCCAGATTGATTTGAATGCCAGTCCTCTAATCAGCTGGAGGAAAGGAGTCACTTATATAAGCCAAAGAAAAGGAAATACTTCTGCAATACAGCTCACATGAATAGCTAGGACTGAGCGCTGCTTGGCTCCTGAAATCCAGCTTCTGCATCTTCTCACCCCGTTTCTTTGGGGCTGTTTTGGCTGAAAGGAGTGGGAATTTGGGAGGCTTTCCTCTTCTGACTAGTTCTCTTTCAAAGCAGTCGGTGAAGGCAAGCAGAAGGCATGACACCCTCTTCAGACAAAGATCTCAACGGGCTAGGTAACCCCAGCTTTGCGGTGAGTCTGCTCTCTGAAGGGTCATTCTTGCATAAAGAGGTGCAAACCCTGTGGAAGGAGGAGAAGGGGAAAGCTGGGAGCTCAGGCTTTTGTCTCGGCTCTCACTGACAAGAATCTGAGGAATGATTTCCTCACTACAGTCCCTGCTGCTGCTGCAGGATCAGCATACTTTCTACTCTTTGGTAGCCTGTTAATTTCTGTTCCCTCCACTATTTCTAAAATTATAGTGTAGATGAATGGCAGTGCACGTGTATCTGTACTGAAAAACGGGTGAGCTTGTGGCTGTATTTCTGGATAAAGCACTTTATGTATTCATTAGAAAAATTTCAATAGAATTTTAGCCTAGTAAAGACTGTGTTTCTTTGTCCTTTGGACCTATTTCCAGTGAGGTGAATTGTTAGAAAGGTGGGCGAAGAAGGGATTTGGTTGTCAGCTGAGGAGGGCACCCTGTAGAATTACAGACGTGTAGTAAAAGCTGTAAATGATGTGCCAGTTCAGGGGTGTGTGGTACATTGAGAATGCTGCTAGCTATAACAGTAATGGGAAAGGTCCTGGGATATGACAGCCCTCTTCCTATCCCAAAGCAGGGATCACCACCATCAGAAACCAAAAACTTTGCTTATTTTCTGTCAACAGATGTGAAGGAGTGGGGTCCTGCAAACATCTTGCTACCTTGATACAGACCACCTGTCTGTGCTACCTTGGAGGAAGCATTTAACTTCCTTGTGTACAAGTCCCACATTTCTGGCATAGCTCTGGGTGAGCTTACTACGTGCAGTGGAGGTGCTGTGCCAGCTGTGGGCAAAGCCTCAGGGAAGTTCTCAGAGTCAGTCAGTTTTCTTTCATTATTTTTAACAGACCCTCCATTTTAACTTGTTCTGCCATAACACATATCAGACTTGTGAATTTTTATGGTTTGAATCACCCTAAAGAAGGTGTAAGACAAAGGTCTTTTACCTGTGGTTTGAGCAGTTCAGTTCCTGACTGATGCACTTATTTAAGATGTGATTGAGGGCTCTTGTGCTGTGTCTGGAGCCTGAGGGCACATGGAAGGTGTACTGGTCCCCTGGATTCATGGGAGCAGCTGGGCTCAGAACCCCCAACAGTGGTTTCCCTTCCCTGCTCCAGACTGCTCCTGCCTTGTCCTCTTGCCAGCATCTCAGCCTCACAGGCTGGCTGAGGTTGGAATGCATCTCTGGAGATCACCTTCTCCAAAGCCCTGCTCAAGCAGGGCTGTCCAGAGCCAGCTGCCTCAGGCTGTGTCTACACAGTTTTTAATATCTCTAAGCATGGAAAATCCACAACCTCTCTAGGCAACCTGTGCAGTGCTTGGTCACTCTGACAGTTTTTAATACCTCTAAGAATGGAAAATCCACAACCTCTCTAGGCAACCTGTGCAATGCTTGGTCACTCAGCAAAATATATTTTCAGATTTTAAGATGGTAACTCCTGCATTTCAGTTTGAGTCCAGTGCCTCTGCTCCTTTCTCATCCTGATATCTCCACTCCATCCTTTTCCTGATGAGCCCTGCTCACTCCCCTCCAGCTCCTGGGGAGGGTCAGGCTCTCATGTGATGATCATGCGGGGCTCTTACTGGCACAGGCTCTGCCTTCCTGGAATATGCCTCCTGGTTAATACAGGGGAAATTGCAGTGGAAAGAAAGGAGCTTACTGCTGTCTGCCTAGCTTAGCATTTGTCTACACATGGTGTTATTCAGGAGTAGTTGTCTCCAAATAACTCCATGCATGGGCAGTCTTAAGTACCTTGCTGTACATTTGTTAATCCATGGCTCAGGCTCTCTTATTCTGAAATGAAAATGTCTGCACAGGGAGTTATTAAGGAACTACTTTTGCTCTTGAAATTCATGCCTGAGTCCAGTTTGAATTAAGTCTGCCTTCACCTATCTATTTTGAAGTGTCTGTTATGCTCACAGTTTGCCTAGGCTGGATAAATACACTGTGTTTGTTAAAGAGGCTTCTCCATTGTAGGAATCCTGGAGGAGAGTCTTGGGCTTTAAGTTGATTAAGGTCATTTATTTGAGTGGTACTGTAGTAGAAACAGCTCAAGCTGAGTGCTGCTGGGGAGGGACCTTGAACAAAGAAATTCATAATTAATTCAATTATACCCTTACAACCTGAGTTCCCCACCCCTCACACAACAGTTCAATAACAATATTAGGGTCTGGGTCTTAGGGATTACATGGCCTGTTTTCAACTGCGTGACCTAAAATGGGACTTTGGAGATTCAGCCAAGAGAATGCAAACCTGGAGGTTTCAGGCAAATGATTTTGGTAATAATCTGCCACACCTGCAAAATTTACAACAGAATGCAACATTAATTTTACATCTCTGTTCCTGACCACAGCACTACCTGTTTGTCTCCATCAGTAGGCAGGCCAGGAGTGCTACTGCAGACACTTTGCTATTGTGTTGGGTATTTTGGTGTCTTGAGGCTCCTGCAGTACTTGGAAGATAAAACAAAAACAAAACAACAACAACAAAAACCCCAAAAAACCCCAACAAAAAAAGGGATTTCTTCTGCAGGACTTGGAGGATAAAAAAATCACCCAAAAAACCCCACCAAAAAAGTTTGGTGCAGACAAACTGATTAAGCTTCTCCAGACAGCAGGTTTCTGTCCCTACCTGATAGAGGAGGGCATCTCAGCCCAGAAAAGCCCTCTGCTGCCAGGATACTGAGGACTTGCTGGTTGGAGACAGGCCAATGAAACAAATGCTTTGGGATCTTAATTAGCTTTTGCATCTGGCTCTAAATGTTGTGGTTTCCCAGGCAGCCTCTTTCCACCCTATGTGTGTGTGTGCACAGGGGTCAGAGTGGGTTGGAAGGAGGCATGGACAACCAGGAGAATTTGCTCACCTTAAAAGCTGTGGCAAATGAAGCAAAGCACTACTTTGCTTTCCTTGGCAAAATGCATCTTTATATAAATAAACATTGAAAGGCATAGAGCTCCCTGGGAAGCCCTCGGGCTTCTGGCTGCCTGGGAGGGAGACCTGAGCCTCCCTGGGTAGCAGTTTCAGCCAGATCCTTTGGCATGGATGCTGGGATTTCCCATCTACTGGTGTCCCTGTATTTCACCCAGCTCCTCTGGAGGAACAGGGTTTTCTAGTAGGACAAAAGGGAGGTGTCTTTAGCAAGGCAGAATACTGGTAAAGGTGAGCATAAGGAGTCTGAAAGAGAAGACCCAGGAGATGAAATATAAAATGTGCTTCTACTCAGTAATTAGCGGCAGCCAGGTATTTTAGCATGTTTTATACAAAATACTGTTTGGGTGGAATTGTCAGGAGGTACAGAGACCAGAGGACAGTGCAGCTTTCACTGATAAGCCCACTGCGCACTCTTCCTTGCTTCTGGTTGCAGTTTCTTCATCCTTAACTAGATTTTAATGATATTTACTCACTTTGTCTGGATGTCCCTTTGAGATTGAGACACCGTCTAGTGTTTCTTCAGGCCTAGACACACCAGCACATACAAAAATTTTCCATATATGTTTTGTGCCTCTGTTTTAATTTCCCTTCCTTTGTTGTTTTTTGTTTGCTTGTTTGTTTTGGTTTTTTAAGTATCATATATTGTTGAAAGCTACACAGGGGGTATTCCTTCCAGACGTGGAGCGTGGCTGCAAGAGAGGTGGTTGCTGGACATCTACAAGGCCAGGCTTTGGCTAACAAAGTGTCTCTCCTGTTGTCCAGGGTAAACATGGGAGCCACTGCCATTCCTCACCAGATCGTGGTGCCTGGGGCCCAGAGGAGGGTGGAGGCTCTAGCCACAGTGGGACCAAGCTTGGCTACAGTGTCACAGATGTGCCTCCCTGGTATCTGTGCATCCTGCTGGGCATTCAGGTGAGATGGGAAGCAGGTGGAGGCTGGGAGTAGGTGAAAGTTACATGGCTGTTCAGCCAGTTAACTGGGGTGAAACCTGAATTTGGGAGTGTTTTACTTTCGCAGGGCTTGACTGGAGCTCTGAGGCTGGATCTTAGTGAGCTCAAGTCCTTTAGTTCACATCCTTAGCACTGACTATTATCATGACCACAGCTACATTACACTCTTGGAAGTGCAAATGGTCAGGCAGTGTCCTGGGGCTGGGGTCAAACAGTAAATAAGAACTTTTGGGTACCTTGGCTGAAGGCAGCCAAATGTGTAAGGGGTTTCTGAACTTCTGCCTTCCCATGGCAACAAAAACTCAGCAGCAGGCCACATCTGTTTTGGCTGGTGTCTGTGCCCAGGTGTGTTAAATGACCCAGTGCCACCAATGCCATGCTGGGTAGGCAGCCTGTGGGAAAAGAGACCTCAGAGTCTTAAGATAATGATGGACTGTGCTTGGAGGTTGGTGGAATTTTGTACTTTGTTTACTTAAAGGGAAATTTAGAGTGTATCAACCCAACACATCTGCATCATAATTTTAATAAAACATGCCTGTAATGAATAAAGTGTGTTTCTGAGTGCCACCAGTTTCTGAGTGCCACTGCAGTGCTGTGCTCCAAAGTGAGAGTGAACAACATAGGTTAATAGTGAAAACAAAAAGAGGTTTTAAAAATTGTTTTCAGATTTAGTCATTAACAACAGGTCATTGCAGAAATATGTCTGTGCCTCTTCTGACAAATACAATGCCCAATTCTTCCATTCTTTGGCACTCACTTTCTATAGTTATCCATAATTGTGCTGTGTGAGAAAAGCTACTAATGGCAAAAACCGTGTAGCTCCAATTTGCCAACTTTTTATGTCATCCTTTGTGGTGCAAATAAGATGGACTGAAATATTTGCATTCACTTTGCCTGATTGCTCTCTCCATGTACCTTGGGAGGTCTGCGGCTTCCTGGAAAAGTATGTCCAACAGCTTTGTGTGCAGATGCTGGGGATAAACTGGTCATGTCTGACAGTGGCCTGGGAAGTCCACAGCACTGCAAAAGGTCTTTGGACATGTAAAGGAGGAGACAGCTCAGTGGGTGCATTGCAATTCCTGTAGGTGCTTTGCAACAGCTCCTAACAGAGCATTAAGGCTGCCTAAAAAGAAGGAGAGAGAATGGGTAATGTTAGTATTGCCCAAGCACAGATCTGTGAGTTCTCTCAACAGCATGGTAATAACACAGAGCCAGTTCTGTGTCCTTCTTCACCCAGTCTTTCTCTGTGGCTCCTAGCACTTCTTGACAGCCATAGGAGGTCTTGTAGCCGTCCCGCTGATGCTCTCCAAAGGCCTTTGCCTCCAGCATGACCCACTGACCCAGAGCCACCTGATCAGCACCATCATCTTTGTCTCAGGAATTTGCACCCTGCTGCAAGTCCTCTTTGGAGTAAGGTAGGCTAAATGCAAGAGCTGAGAACATGAGCAATTACTGTGTGCTAGGCCACCACCCTGTTGAAGAGTTTACCAGTTATTTGTTACCCTTGGGCATCAGGGTCCATGCAAAGCACCCTGAAACTGCTGAGAGCTTTGCAGGCTTACCTTGCTGTTCCGAATTTTGCATCTCCTGATACTTCCTATACTTTTTGCTGGGCTTAAAAGGAATCTGTCCTCAAAATAATAGAGCATTGCAACATGCAGTAAAAGTACCTGCTTGTTCCTTACTCCAGGGATCTTCCAGCTGATGCAGGAGCCTTCTGATTTGGGCTCAGGGTCAAGAGAGCACAAATTCTACAGGAAACTCTAGAGATGAAGTCCATCTGCCACACTTAGGGACTCAGGGAAGAGTTCAGCAGCACATCCTCTTAGGTTGTGCCACTTCCCATGCTCAGGGATTTGTAGCATAAAAGGTAAATCCTTTGCTGATGAGCAGCTAGCAGTGAGATGATCATGGAGTTGCCATTCAGTACCCAGAAAAAGAAGTATTTAATGAGAGTACTGCAAGTACTCCCCCTTTCCAGAAAGATCCTGTATCTTTGCTGACCTTGAAAAATTTCTTCTATTCCCCTTGTCATAACTCTGGGCTGTCTCTCTCTTTCCACAGGCTGCTTTTTCCTCCAGTATGGCGGGAACCCGTGTTTTTTGCTTCAAAGACAAAAGTTATACATTCTTTGCCTTCTGAATCTGAGGGACTGTGGTTAATCACTGTCAACTGCCAGCTGCTCAAAATGTTTTTCCTCCTTCTGCTTCATTCACTACTGAAACTTTTCTGTCTCTCTTAGTCTTAGGAAGTGTCTGTAGACAAACTTCCTGAGGTGTGCTCCCCTTTTCCTGCATTGCTACAGGAGTAGTGGAGGAAGGAGGAGCACTTTGACCACAAAAAACAGAGAAACTGTGTTTCCAACTAAATTCAGGCTGGAGTGCATGACCATCGCTGCTGGTGCAATTCCGAGCTCTCCCAGGCACCCTCCAAACACCTTGGTGCATTTCTGAGAGCTGTAATATCCCCTGCTCTCTGTTAACTGGGGATTAAAGAGTAGCAGACAGCCTTTCTCTCCCGTGGATGAATAGCTAATTGAGGTACAACAGATCAAATTAAGTGGTAAGGAGTTGTTCCCATGGGATAAACTTGAATGGCTTTTGCCGTGCTGAGGGTGCAGTTGCCTTGTTGCTGACCCCAACAATAAAGCATGAGCAAATTCATGAAGCAATAGCCAAGGGAAAAGCTGACCCACTGCAACCTGCAACTCAGTCATGTTACACAGCATGAAAAAGCAGCAGTGGGTCCCAGACAGTTGCTGGAGACACTGTGAGGCTCCTGAGGGCAGACACAGGTCATTTGCCCTTATGGTGAGTCTTGCTTAGTAAATGCTTGGACATCATATACTTAATATCAACACACAGTATTGCCGTCCCTATTTCTGCAGCTTTCCCTCTTGCAAACCTCACAGGAAAGAGTTCAGTGTACCCCATGAGCATCACCTTGGCACCCTGTTTTCCTCTGAGCCTACCCATGGCAACACTGGCTGTGAAATATCTTAGGGACCAACACAACAGGAACTATAAATCTATTGTTGGACTCTAAGTCATGGCCCTGGGCCTTCTCTGTTTCTTTTGGTTTGTTTTTTGTGCCTTGCCCAGCAAAATTATTTCAAAGCTTTGACAGTGCTTCAGTTGTGCATGACTAGTATAAATATTTGGTTTAGGTGACAGAGACACGGTCTGTTACATCTACGCCATCTCTTGTTTAAAGAATGTTAGAAATTCCTCGGTTTCAGGGAAGCTGTGCCCTGCAAAAGCAGTCACCTGAATTGCTGTCCCATGGCTTTTCTGAACAGGTGCCATGAGAGCTCCTGGCACAAGGAAAGGTTGCTGTAGGGGTTTTCCCAGGGGTGCTTCCTAAAGGAAGGAAACAGAGGCACCTTGGACATTTCCCTTGGCTGTTTCAGGGATGTTGTCCCCACCCTCAGGCAGCTTAGGATTTTTCAAGCACAGTAGAGGAATGGTTAAAAATACTCCCACTGCATTGAGGGTTTTGAGGAGCCAATCAGGCCTTTTAGGTGTCTGTCTTCATTTCTTCATGCATAGAAAAAGAGGCTGGTGCAGCTCAAAGGAGCATTGCTGTGCTCTGTAAATCTCTGCATGAAGCCAGTGCTGAACTGCTCTGGAAATATAACCTCCTTGCTACTCTGAGGGATTCCCAGAGGGAGAGATACTCTAAGCCGGGAGACATGTGGTGTGGGGGGAGAACCAAGGTCTCATCCAGTCAGTGCCCACAGACCCCTCCATGCAGGTTTCCTTTCTAGTTTCAGTGGAAATGCAGAAGAGGAATTGGCATTAAAACCCAGTGTATTAAAAGCCAAGTCACCTTTTCTGTCACTCTCAGGATCATTGTGACATGGAGAGTAGCTAGTGCATGCCCTTGCGTGCATGAGCACCTTAAAAGCCAAGTCACCTTTTCTATCACTCTCAGACCGAGGATTGTTGTGACATGGAGAGTAGCTAGTGCATGCCCTTGCGTGCATGAGCACATTGTGAAGAAAACCAAAGCAGCCAAAGGAGAGAGAGGAAGCAACTGGATATTGGCAAGATTGACACTGAGCTTTTCTTCAGCATCTCACCATCTTTCTTCCTTGGTCTTCTTCCCTCCGCCAGATTTTTCCTACTCTGTGCAGGTCTGTGGTCTCATCAGCCATTAGAAGCACTACTTCTTCCTTAACATGGGGTAGCAGGGTTGACTGTAGCACTGATGTGTCCCTCCATTGGTGGGACATTTGAACCTCAGCTCTTACCCCATGTCAGTGCTCTTGCATGCAGTGGGCAGCAATTCCTCCCCATAGTCAGTGACAATGACCTGCCACAACAATTCAAAAGATACTGTCAGAGGCTATAGGCAGACTGATTTTTACAATTATTTTGCTTTCCTTTCTTTCCTCCCTTATAGAGCAGAGTTTCTAGCACTCTCACTTGTCATTTTTTCCCCTCTGCTTTCCTTCCAGGCTGCCTATTGTTCAAGGAGGGACTTTAACATTCCTGACCCCCACCTTGGCAATGCTGTCTCTCCCCAACTGGAAGTGCCCAGCCTGGACAAACAACGCCACCCTGGTGAATGCCTCTTCACCAGAATTCATCCAAGTCTGGCAGACACGGATGCGAGAGGTATGTTGCATTTTCAGCAGCACCTGCTCTGTGTTGGGGCTGTTTGCTTTCAGTAAAGTCCCTGACCATATCATGGCCACCACAGCTGGAGAAACTTCTATTCCCAATGAACCTTGGCCCTCAAGCTGTTACAGCTTTCTAAACATCTATTCTCTCAAAAAAGTAGGTGCTTCACTGCTGCTGAACAGGGGACATGCAGACCTCCTCAAGTGATTTATGGTCCCAGCAAAGTCTCCACTGGTCCAGTCAGATCCCTTCTCTATAAAGCATGGTTAGCCTAGAAGAAGAAAGGGAGGGAAAATATTTTCAAGGAAAGAACCTTGTCTAAGCACAGGAAACCTAGTAAAAAATGCAAGGCAAAACCTACTGTAAATATTAAGGAAAAGGACATTCTTGAGTAATCAGAAGGGAGCAGTTTAATTGCCTTATTCTACATCAATTGCCTTTATCAGAGCAAGTGACTAAATTTGCCTCTGTGGATCCATTTGTTGGTGGCATTCTTGGGTAATCAGAAGGGAGGAGAAAAGGTCAGGAGTTTCATTGCCTTATTCTACATCAATTGCCTTTATCAGAGCAAGTGACTAAATTTGCCTCTGTGGATCCATTTGTTGGTGTGTTTTCCAAACCTCTTGGGAATTTTTGAAAGCTCACCAGGGGTTTGCTGTGCAGCACAGGTTGCTCTCTGCTGATATACATAAATCTATCACAAGGGCACTGCTGACATCTCGTTTCAGCCTGGGTCATTCACCCAGCCCGTGTTTCTCTCCCCTTTGGAGGTGGGGAAAGGAAGGTGCTCAGCACCACAGAGGTTCCAGCTTGTCACCAGATCTGAGAAGGCAGAGAGCAGCCCTGCCCCTGCCTGAAGCTGACACTGAGGTGAGCAGCATTTCAGAATGTAATTGCTGGCTCCTTGGCAGTGATTGTCCAACACTGGGAAGTTCAGGGTGATAAATGTGTTCCCAGAGTGAAACTGATACTCAGGAAAAAAAAAGAGGCTGTGACGAGTCACTTGCTTCAGCAGTGTGCTGAAGAGACCCAAGCCCTTCCCAAAAGGAAGATCAGTGGATACCATGGCCCTGCTTTCCCCCTGTTTTTGGGGAAAGAGCTTTTCCCCTGTCTTGGGGGAGCAGGCAGGAGAGTGCAGGGCAGGTGATGCATGCTTGAGTGGCCCAAGGGGACAGGGAGGAGGTGATCTCTGGAACAAAATTAGCCCTGGTGAGGACTAAATCCTATCAGCCATGGTGGGAGTTGCTGTGCTGCTGCTTTGGTGGTGCTTCCCACATGTAATTCTCAGCCAGGTTTTACTGTTGTTAGCAGGAGGCCTCCATGCCAGTCTGTCACTAGAGACTGAGCCTGGCTCTCCTGCTGGATTTGCACTGACATGAAGAAAGGGCTCAACAGCTGGGGCTCCTTCCAACCTCTGTTTTCATCCTCCGTTTTTCCAGGTGCAAGGAACTATCATTGTAACTTCTTGTTTTCAAATCTTCGTTGGATTTTCTGGCCTGATTGGATTTCTGATGAGGTTCATCGGCCCCCTGACAATTGCCCCCACTATCACCTTGGTTGCACTACCTCTGTTTGAGTCGGCTGGAGATATGGCTGGGCAGCACTGGGGCATAGCATTCCTGTAAGTCTCACATCTCTGCGGGAAAGATGAGAGTACACAAACCACCTGCCTCTAATATGAAACCAAACATCACAGTCCATAGCAGAGTTCCCCTGGGTTCAAGGTTTATTTGTTAAGCACTAACATGTGACAGGCTTGTGCAAGGCAGCCATGTGACATAGTCATTCTCCTCCAACTCCCAGGAGGCTAAGCCCTCAGCAACAAAGCAAAACCCAAAAATGAGTTTAAAAACCACTGATTTTTGTAAAAATACAAAGTTCATAGGTCAGTAGAGATACAAGCCTTCCCCATGTGTGTGCAGTCTCCATCAGCTGTTGTCTACGCCACTGTCTTAGACACCCATTATTTAAGTTTAAAAGACATTCCTAAAATGACCAAGTTGAGCATTCAGGTATTCTATGTTGAAGTAGCTGGTGCTTTATGTATTGTCTTCACATGAGTAGGAGGAATTGTTCTCTCCAGAGTCGTAAGGCTGCTGAGCACCTTTGTTTATGCAAATGGACAAAGTGTGCTCTTACGAAGTCTGTCTGGACTCTGTAGCATTAGAAACCACAAATGTAAACCAGTTCCTCCTCAGACTTTCTTCCTCCAGTCATCCAGTGCTTTGAATTGTGATGTCATGGAGTGTCTTTGCAGAGAAGTGAGGACAGAGTTTTCTTTGCACTGTTGGAATTCTGCCTGTCCCTGACTATTGCACCTACAGTTTGTCACCTTTTATGTGGAGAAAACTACCGGCTTTCCAGTGAAGTCAGTGCACTTCAGCTGGTGCAATTGATTTCTCACCAAATCCTATCCAGATTAATTCACTCCCTGCATAAAATTTAGATTTGTTGTAAAATAATGAGGAGCCCTTCAGAGGCCTGGCTAACCCAGGAAACGTCCATGGTCTTCTACCAGCTCAGCAGTCGAGGTGGGATGCCCAGCCCCTGCCCTCTCTCCACATGTGGTAGCTTCCACCTTCATCTGGTTGGCCTCTCTGGGCAAAAGGCACATGGGGGGCAGGCTGTGAGTGCACCCAGATGTGCTGCTGTTCCCAGATGTGTTCTACACAAGGGATGGGAGAGGAGCAGCTGCAGTTACTTCCCTCAGCACGAGCCCTGGGTGTTGTCAGGGACACATGGGAACACCCCTGCTATGGGGGGCCCCTCCGTCGCTCAGCGCTCACAGACAGAGAGTCATGCTCTTCTTGGCTGGCTGGGAGGGCTCTGAGGGCACCATGTGCAGCCCCACAGAACCACCATGGTTTTTTCTTTCAAAACAGCACAGGAGATTTGCACGGGCAAACCCAATCTTCTTTTACTCTGTGTTACAGGAGCTTTTTGCCCCTTGAAGAGCAAAATAGATAAACCAGAAATCAGGAAAGAATAAATCCTGTATTTCTAGTATATCTGAATTACACAGGCAGAACGTGAACCTTGCATGTGTCTCAGGTCTTTCTTTTACTTATGAGGCATTTTGTAACCTTTCTGCAACTGTGTTGTACTCACGGATGCACTGCCTGGGGTTTCAGTCTTGAAACAATAAGGGTAAAAGAGTTATTTGCAAATATGCGGAGCTCTCAGTAGATTATGGTGGAAAGCTTGCTCCATGTCTGGCTTGGTGGAGTGGGGAGCCACCCTCTTCTGCTGAGAGACTGTTTTTATGGGTCTTCTGGAGTCTTGGGTTCTTTGGTAGTTCTGTGGGGACAGGTGGGCAGCTGGGCATCCCTTTGTTTATGGTCTCATTTCCCCTCCTTCTAGGACTATTTTTTTCATAGTTCTGTTCTCTCAGTACTTGAAACATGTTGCTGTGCCACTGCCGTCTTACCAGAGAGGCAAGAAGTTCCACTCCTCTCCAATCTACCTCTTCCAGATCTTCCCGGTATGTTGGGGATCCTGGATACCAGGGAATTGTGTCAGGGACTGGCCTCACCCACCCCAGGCTGCCTGGGCTCTTTCCACTCGTGTCCAGATGAGTGAGTGCTTCCCAGCTGAGCCTGTGTGGTGAGGGGCAGACATGAAAAAGCTCCCCATGGCCCTAATTATTGGGAGGGAAGGAGGGAGGGAGGGAGAGAAGAAGAGAGGGCCAGGAGGAGCTTCTGCTTCCTCTTTGCCTCCCTTCCGTGTGCAGGGAAAAGGGTCGGGCGGGGACACATTGTCCACGCCAGCCGTGCTGCAGACGCAGCCGTGGCCTAACCAGACCCCACTGCTGCTTGTGATGGGCAGGTGCTGCTGGGGCTGTCCCTGAGCTGGCTGCTCTGCTACGTGCTGACAGTGACCAGCGTCCTCCCTGCGGCCCCCGCTGCCTACGGCCACCTGGCCCGGACAGACAGCCGTGGGGACGTTCTGTCACAGGCTCCCTGGTTTCGGCTGCCTTACCCAGGTACCACTGCCTCCCCTTCCCCATCCTGCCTACTCCGGCTTGCACCTCCACCTACGACTACCCGGAGGAGATGAAATGTCAAAAAATCAGGCGAACACCCACAGGCATTCCTGCTGTTCTTCCTTCCCCAGGGCGGATTTCAGGGCAAATGAAACCCTGAAATTCCACCTAAACCGAGCTCTTTACTTGCAGGCCAGTGGGGAATGCCAACGGTGAGCCTGGCCGGGGTCTTTGGCATCCTAGCCGGGGTGATTTCCTCCATGCTGGAGTCCGTGGGAGATTACTACGCCTGTGCCCGCCTGTGCGGGGCCCCGCCGCCGCCCAAGCACGCCATCAGCCGCGGCATCGGCATGGAGGGCATCGGCTGCCTCCTGGCCGGGGCCTGGGGCACGGGCAGCGGCACCACGTCCTACAGCGAGAATGTGGGAGCCCTGGGCATCACCAAGGTGAGCCTCGCCGCCTCCCGCAGCGCTCCCCCGCGGGGGCGTGTGCAGGAGAGCCGTGCACATGGCTTTGTGCTGGACCGGGGGAGTGATCTCAGGCCACCTCCTGGAAGTTTTATAACTTATATGTAACTTAGAACATGGGAAAATTGTGCCTTGGCACGTTGGTGACCAGCTCAGCAGCACTACAAATGACTTAGCAGAGGTGGGCAGTGCTTCCCTTTCTGTGCCTCTGGCCTGCACAGGGAATTAGTGCCCTCACTCAGACACCTGGCCTAGGTAAGGCTGAAGAGACTATGGTGCATCTGAGCTAACCTCTACGGGTGCAGAGAGGAAGAGGAGAGAAAGGGAAAGGGTGAATATTAATAAGGCTTCAAATTCCACAACTTCTATAACCCAAGGATGGCAATCGTGTGAAAGGTAGACTCTTTCTTCAGGGTTGTAAAATGTGATTACAAAGGTTTGTGTGTGAGTCCCTTGAGTATATTAATTGCACTTATCAGGGAAAGAAATTTCCAGAGATAAGCTTGACAATCAGATCAAAGATTTTCACTAAGCCTTGCAACCGTAGGATAGGCTGACAGATATCTAGCTGCTAACTGGACAACATTTTCAAATCATTGCCAAATAAGCAATGATTCATGCCAGAAGAGCTGTGAGTCAGTAAATAAACGCAGCTTCCTTACAGCTTCCACTCTGTAATATTGCTTATTTTACTGGATTTTACAAACCTCACTCACCACAAGCATTTTTCACACATTGCAGTGTTAGTGTTGGACTGAGGTGGCTGCCTCAAGCACCAAGGGCTGCATGGATGTCTGCATGGAGTCCAGTTCAGCCTATCACCACGTGTGCATTGTCACTGTGCATACTAACCATCTACCTGAGCCAGTTCTTTCCTGATGTGTAGTTTGCTGCATGTATTGTATGTATAGGATGCTGCCCAAACTCATAATTACCAGATTATAGGACATGTATTCTCACAATGTATGCTAAATCCTCCAGGAGGACATGCCATCTTTGCTGATTCAGGAGAGATATTTCCTTGGATCCCACCTCTGCTCACTCTGTCCACACTTGAAAGAGCTGAAAATGGAGTGTCATCTCAGTCAGTTTAAATCAGTGTAAACATCTGCCTGGGACAGATGGAGGTGCTGAGAGCACAAGGCAGATTTAATTTCTTTTTTTATGTGGGAAACACATTGTTCCATAACAAATGGAAACACAAGGGACTTGTTTCCTCTCTTAAACAGAGATGTCCAGCACCACCGGAGAGGTCTTTGGAGATCTCAGATACATAAAGGGGCTGACAGATAAGGCAAGGAGAAGCTGCTAGAAGCTGCCAAAATGCAAAATCTTACACGGCACCAGGCACTAGATCAGGCCCAGTATGCCAGTACTGAGAACTCCTTTCATCTTACATGGCACCAGGCACCAATATTTAAATTGCTTGATCAAGCCCAGTATGCCAGTACTGAGAACTCCTTTCCAAGAAAAGGAGGATTTTAAAGAGACCTTAGAGTCACTACATGTTGGGGGGAACCCTGCAGTATCTCCAGCCTTAAGAAAGAGAACTGATTTTATTGTTCTCCTGACATAATTGAAGCAAACTCCAAACTAGTGGCTTTAGCAGAATATGGTCACAGTGCCATCACTGGATTAGGTCTTTTGCCTTTAAGGCCAACTCCATATACATGGTAATTCAACATTTTAGCAAAGTGAGACTTTGAATCTTTGTTCTAATCCTGGAACAAATAGATCTGTTGACTTTTATTAATTAACATTTAGATGCTAATAATGTCCCAAGGTTTTAAGCCAGAGTATAAAAAGCAATGAAGCACCTGAAGGCAATGCATGATTTTATTTTGAAACTCCACACCAAATCTTTTTTATTTATCTTTCACAATCAAGAAAGACTTAAAATATTTAGACTTAAAATAGATAGGTGATGACAGATAGGTACAGAGCAAAAGACTTCCTCACTTCTTATTTCTTGACCATAGAAAGGATATATCAGATCCCAGAGCTTAGGATGGAGCAGCCAGCCAGCTCTGGTCTCTGAAATCTTGGTCTCTAGGGAATGGAGGGATCATTGTGGGATCTTCTGGATGTCAATCCAAACCCTGGTGGAAAGACAGGGAATGGAGGGATCATTGTGGGATACCTCATTGAAAGCCACTTCTGGATGTCAATCCAAACCCTGGTGGAAAGATTGTCCAGTTAACTGGCTGGAGGGTTGCAATGCCAGGCTTCTGTGTATGCCAAGATATTTCTAGGCTAAAGCAAGAACAAGTGGGTATTACTGTGCTCTTAATTTAACTTTTAAAAAGTTATTTCAGTTTAATAGCAAACTGTTGAAGTTCTGTTGATAGTAGGAGAGAGGACAAAACTGAGTAAATAGGTCGTGATGCTTTCAGAGTGCCTTTTATTATAAATATTTATGGTGCACAAATACTGATGCTTCCCATTCAGTGTCAGCATCCCAGCTCACCAGCAGCTGTATCCAGACCTGTCCCTGAACATGCCAGGCAGTGCTAGGGCCAGAGCTGCAACACCTACCTGACAGGCTGGCACTGGAGCCTGCCCCCCTCGCCTTCCCCTGCTGGTCAGTGTGTGACTGCCTCCTCTTCCTCTTGCCCAGGTAGGGAGCCGAATGGTGATCATTGCTGGTGCCTGTGCCATGCTCCTGAGCGGCATCTTCGGGAAGGTTGGGGCCATCCTTGCCAGCATTCCCATCCCTGTGATTGGAGGCATGTTCCTTGTGATGTTCGGAGTTATCACGGCAGTGGGCATTTCCAATTTGCAGGTAACAGCTGTGTGAGCACTGCTGCATCCCTGCTGAAGGGGACTTCATTTCATTAAAACAGAGAATCATAGAGTAAGCTGAGTTGGAAGGGACCCAAGGGATCAAGACCCTCGAGTCCAACTGCTGGCCCTGAGCAGGACACCCCAAGAGTCACACCATATCCCTGAGAATATTGTTGACTTCTCACTCATTCACTTCTTGAGCTCTGTCAGGCTGGTGAAAAGCTTTTTCCTGATATCCAGCCAAAACCACCCCTGACTCAGCTTTATGCTGTTTGCTGTCACAAGTCATGAGAGTTAAGAGATCAGTACTTGCTCCTCTGCTTCCCTTCATGTGGAAGTTGCAGACTGCAGTGAGGTCTCTCCTCAGTCCTCCTCCAGGCTGAACAGACTTCAGCTGCTCCTCATATGGCTTCCCCTCCAGACCCTTCACCATCCTTGTGGCCCTCCTTTGGACACTCATTAATAGCTTTATATCTTATATTGTGGTGCCCAAAACTGCACACACACCCTCAGTTTCAAGTCAGTTTCTTACAGACTGTGTCAGCTATAACCATACTGCAGCAAATGCAAACATTTATGTTGGCAATTCCTCAGGTAAAGATAAGGGGCTGTACCCAGAGGGGCTAAATAACAGAGGGCTCCCTGGTATGGGCAGGGCTGGCTGGCACTGGGGACTGCAGGATCACAAATGCCCCAGCAGCACCAGGGCTGGGTCCATTCCTGATTCCAGTGTTTGCAACCCACCATGTCTCATGAACACAACAGTAATCCAGAGTTTTGTGCATGTAATGTAAGACATTTCTCTCTGCAGTATACAGATATGAACTCCTCAAGAAACATCTTTATCTTTGGATTTTCTCTATTTGCTGGCCTCACAATTCCCAACTGGGCAAGCAAAAATAGTGCTTTGCTGGAAACAGGTAAGAATTGACATCAGAAGCATTTTCTACATCATGAAACAGAAGGAAAGGCTGACCAGAGAAATCTTTTAAAATAGATTTTTCTGACAAAATGCTGAAACCTGTGCTTAGACTGTTGCCCGTTTCTTTCTGTGAGGGCTATTTTTGCCTTTTCCTCTGATGCATAGCTCTGGTGCAGAAGTCTCTGCTTTTGTGCTTATAGACAATATGTGCTTATGTGCTCATAGACAATAAAATGTTGTACTTTCAAAATGCAAGAGCATTGGTCAGTGACTGGGTTCTCTATGAATGAGGTTTTCTTATGTGCTCATAGACAATAAAATGTTGTACTTTCAAAATGCAAGAGCATTGCTTCTCTACTAAATTCCATCAGGTTCACTTTATTGAAATTTTCAGTTCTCCAACAGTTGGCCCTTCACTGTGTCTTGTATGACTGATGTCTTCATCACAAAGGCCAGTGTCCTTTTTTAAAGCATATGTGGTGTGCTGGGTGAGCTGATTAAAGAGCTGGGCCCACAAACCCCATGCTCTATAGATGCTCTGTCAGATGCTCAGTGCCACTGGGCTTTGCTCATGGCCATCAGCCCTCAAGGGGAAAAAATATCACACCTGATGATCTGTGGTGAAATCCCATCCTAAATACACTCACATTTCTTTGGGAACTGAAGCTCATGCTCCTGTAGGGATCTGTTAGGTGTTATGTTGTGCAGGTGCTGAATGTGTTTAGAGCAGAAAGTGGCTTTTTGTCAGACAGTGCTGGGGTCTGCAGTGTTAATAAGCTCTTAATGTATTTATAAGCCATCTCCTGCCCACTGTGGGTCTGCGAAAAACCACGTAGAGTAAAACTGTAGGTCTGAAACTGACTGTGAGATCATTCTCCTACTCCCAAATCTTACACTCTGCTTTGGATTTGCAAGCCTAGTCCAAGCAAGCCTAGTCCAAGCAAGCATGCAAGCTTGCAGCCTCCTGGCACCAGAAATATAGCTGGTAAAACAGGTAAAATGCTCTTCCTACACCATGATATAAATCTTTGGGTTTTTTGCTAGGAATCATCCAGCTTGACCAAGTGATCCTGGTGCTTCTCACCACTGGCATGTTTGTGGGTGGACTTCTGGGCTTTATCCTGGATAACACCATTCCAGGTAGGATTTGCTGAAATGAGCTGCTAGTTTGTGCCTGTTCTAGGGTTTGTTCCCTGGTACTTTTTGTCTTCATTCTTCATGACTGCTGTTCTATGGATAGGAGTTGTGCTAGCAACCATGAAACACTGTGTGACTGCACTCCTCCCAGAGAAGGGTGAGGAACAGGAGACATCACTGAAATGGTCTCTGGCTGGAAAACAGCAGCTTATCAAAAATAAATTATTTGTCAGGAACAACTCAGGCTGAGGAAAAGGTTTATTTGGCAAATATATCTTTCAGGGAAAATGCCAGCCTAAAACCATATTGCTAGTTAAAATCAGAGAGGAAAGCAGCTACAAGAAGTGGAAGGAGCCAATGTGTGCCAGTATGGGAGCTGCTAAAAGTGAGGCTGAACTAAAGCCAAAGCAGTAGGAAAGACTGGTGTTGGCCCTCACAGGCAGCAAAGAGCCTTGGATTTTCATCTAGCATGGGGAGGGAGGGCATAAGAATAGGAGAGGAAACCCTCTTTTCTGCTGCATGAAAAGAGCAGAAAGGATGCTCTCTTAACCAGATTCTGTTACTGTCTGAGGCTTCTCGCTAATCTCCTTTTGGCTTATTAATTTTCCTGCAGCCTTCAATCATCAGCTCCTCTTTAGGCAGAATTTACAGGTATGCTCGCTCCCTTTCCCAAGAATTTACAGGTATGCTTACTGCTTTCCCTTTTCTTTGCTGCCACAGCAGTTAGAGGCACTTGGGAATTCCTTTGGCTAGGGTAAATACCTGTGGCTGACTAGTAACTGCTAGCTAAATTTGCTCTGAAGTGTCCGGGCTGTTAACATCCAGCCTTGCTTTCCCAGCACTGCATGAACCTCCCCTTTGAACAGTTCTTGGATCTCCTATGGCAGGTGAAAACTTCTTGGTATACATGATTCCCCTGGAAAGCAGTGGAGAAGGCTGCTTATCTGGAAGCTGCTGCAGGAAAAGGGGTGTTGTCTGGAAGCTCAGTAGTGAATATTTGTAGAGCTCTTTGGAGCTGGAAGGGTTTAAGTAGAAGGGATTTGTATTTTGTGCTGTGTCTGCTGGGATTTGAGCAGTGGGTGTGAGGCACACGAAGCAGCCCTGTGCTGGAACACCTGCTGTTACAAACACAACAACCTGACTTTGCTGTTGCAGGAACACAGGAAGAGCGGGGGCTCCTGGCATGGAAGCAAAGCCACAAGGGAGGGATGGAGAGCTCTCAGCTTGTTTCCAAGGTCTATGATCTCCCATTTGGCATAGGCACCAGATACTGCAATGTCTCTTGGTTTCACTATCTCCCTGCTTGCCCCAGAAAACCGTCTTGTGACAAGAGAATGGATGAACTGAAGGCTGCTGGGCAGAAAACCAGTGTCGAAGCAAGCTTAGAAAGAAACTCTCATATTGGTGCTGATACAAGGATATAAGCACTTCACCAGCAAGAGAACTCATCTCAGAAACAGAGGTATGAAAGTATGTCTACAGACCCTATCATCTGAGCATGAGCTGGCAGCTGTTAGAGGGGGGAAGCAGGAAAAGGGTAATACCTTCCTCTTCCCAGCTCTGCTGACTGCACCATTGATGGCCTTGAGGAAGTAATTTTTTCCCTTCTCTCTTCCTGCCTGCTCACTTGTAGGAAGGACCCGATCCCTCCTCGGGGAACACCAAAGCCCAAGAAATGCCTAGGAAAGAAGTTCTGTTTCCTTCTTGCACTGACCCTTGGGCACGCTAAGGGGCAGCTGTTCAGCTCAAACAGAAGGTTTCCTGTCCCCTGATCTGGCAGCTGAAGGAGCTTCCCTGATATGGGCCTTGTAGCACTCTCAGGCATCCCTTGGGCTGGGGTGAGTCCCCAGCACCTTAAAGCACCTTGTGTTGTATACCTCATCCTGGCCAAGGGGAAGGAGCAGGTGCCTCTAGGTCATGATTTATCTCATTCCAAATTCCCATAATTTAGGCAGTCAAATGAATGTTGTTGTAAGAGAGGCATCTAAAGTTAACGGGATGGTTTGTCTTCTGAACCTGTCTCTTCTGCCTCAGACCGCCAAGGGACTCTAGAGACCTTAGTTAGGTTCTTGACCTAACAGAAAAAACCAGCTTCCTGAAATGTATCCCACCTTTGGAATGCTGGGAGGAGTCTCAGGAGAACCAGTTTACTGTAGGGCACCCAACCCTACAAAGATGAAGGAATCCTCATAAAATATAATGGAGAAAACACTTCTGCTCACAATCTTACACATCCCTATGCTGCTGCTGTGTCCTGTGTACCCTTGCTGTACCTGTTTGGTCTAGTGTGGTGATTGTGTGGTGATAAGCACTTCTCTGGGAAACAGGTGAGCAGGTTATTGCTCCTATTCCCTATTAGCTTTAACCTGTAGGGCCACATGCAATGTGATCACATGTGCTCCTGTGGTTGCCGGTGCTATGTAATAAAATTGTTGCTGTAGCATAAGCTTGTGTTTCCTTCATTGAGATTATACTTGCTTTTTGTAAGTATATTAAATAATAACATGTACACTGTAATGATATTTCTCAGGGTGGTTGCTGGAGTGAGTGGCAGGTGGTATTCAAAGAATCACTTGCAGGCCTGCACTCCTGTGTGAGCTATGATCATGCAAGAGGAGGGACCAAAGTAACGTGTTCATCTTCTCCTTAATGAAATCACTTGCAGGCCTGAACTCTTGTGAACTATGATCATGCAAGAGGAGGGACCAAAGTAACGTGTTCATCTTCTCCTTAATGTCATTACAATGCTTCTAGTCTCAAAGCAATGCCAGCATGTATAAATGGAGCACACTGGGAACGTCAGGGAATGGCAAGGCTGCGCCCTGGAGAACTCTGAAGAGCTCTTAAAGCCAAACAGGACCCCTGCAACCCCACTTTCAAACACAGCAGTGTGGCAAATGTTCATCTGGGGGTGCCACCACAGCCTCAAGTGCAGGGACAGAAAGGGCCCTGTAGTGTTTGTTCTTCCCTTGTACTTCAGTACTCAGCTCACGTGTGTTTGCCTGAATACATCATGCTTTTATGCACCAAGGCAATGCTGGGCCACAGTCCAGGCCTCTTGGACTCAGTCTAAAAGTTAGATAGCTAGGCACACCAGCTTTAGTTTAGGTTGTAAAATAAAACTTCCATCCTTTCTGTTTGCAATGACTGGTAGCACGACCTCAACATAACCACTATCAGAATACAGTTTGTTCAAGTCTGCAGAGAGCCTTTAATGATAACTCAGAGATGTGAAGGACTTTATTCAATTTCACAGCACTTTTAATTCCAAGACACTATCTGAGCAGCACTACTCATCCAAGAATTAGATGTGGAAGAAGAGCACAGGGCTGATCACTCAGCTTTACACACTTCACAAAGTAAATAATCCAAAGTGTATTACTGTGCCTGCACTTTTTTTTGGTGACTGGGGAGTGGGTGCTCACTGCTGCTGTCCTCATAAAGAGACAGAAGAGCCTCATTCCACTCTCTGTGAGGAAATCCCTCTTTCCTTGTGAGACCAAGATGAAAAATTGCACCGGAAAAGTAATCACTGCCAGGAGGTGATTTTTGCAGGTTGCAGTCTGAGACCTGCATCCTGTGGGAGTGTGCAGACTGTCACTGATCTGGCCTCCCTGCTGCTCTTCCCACACATTATGCTAGGCAAGGTCACTTAACTGTACATGCCTCTGTTTCTTTGTGAAGCAAGGCTAAACATTAAATAGCAATGGGTAAAACCATTTATTAATAAATAGCTAAGACCTTTAAAACCTTTAAAAAGTATAAATACTCAACTGATATATCAAGAAGTACTAATGAGGGAAGGAGAAGTCAATGGTAACAAACCACTCCAACACAGTGTCTCCACACTCTGCTTACAGAGGTAGCTCAGTGAGGGAGGTGAGGCCTCCTCCCGTGCCCGCTGTACCTGGCAGTGCTTGGCAAAGCTTTAGGGGAAACACTGCTTAGAAATCTTCATCATCGAAGGTCTCAGTGCACCGCAGCATCACGGTCTCATGATCGTAGTGAAGATCTTCTTCCTGAAAGCCCCCCCAAAGTCAAGCAGGATTAAAAACCAGAGGAATTCATTGAATTTCAAATCTACAGTCAGTTGGTCAAGAGCTGATGTACCAGGAAATGCAGCATGAGCCCTCCCTCCTCTCTGAATCAGTCATCAGCACTTGATGAGTTCCTGAGGTGCCTGATGAAAAAAGGCTCAAATTTTCTGCCAATTTCCTTCTAAAATCACAGGGCTCCACCCTGTGTCTATTTACATCATCTAGACAGCTGTTGCTGACTGTGGTAACAAGTTTGTCACATAACAGGCTCTGAAGGTATGAGAGCTTCCTTGAGGCCTTAACTTCTACCAACTGCAGGCTTTGGTCCACTTTTAGCAACAGAAGGAAAGGGTCTTGTCTTTCACCAGTTTACAGAGAACAAGTAGCTCTTGAGAAATCAAAGTCTAGAAGATAAAAGTATTCATGCCTGCAGTCCATCTAGCTCACCTTCTGCATTGATGCAAGACTCTTCAGTGAAATACTGCTTTTAAAAATAGGTGCTGTTTGAAAATGTATACCTTAAGAAGCACTAAATACCACTTGCTTGTTAAGTGACTCATCTAAAATCCATAATTTTAAAAGAAAGTGTGCCTTTGAAGACACAAAAGTGCTCTGTACTATTTAGAAAAAAAACCCACTGAGTATAATTTAGGTAAAACCTTTGTATCTCAGTCTAAATTACCTCTTTACTGCCTTTGCTGCATAGCTTCTCTTTTGATGTGACCTTAAGACAACAGCTCTTGAAAAATTACAAGACTGCTTAACTAATCTCATGCTCAGAAACATTTCTCTATCATATACTGTAGAAGCATGCTCCTGTTCTCATTTTGGTGTTTATGTCCTTTTAAGAGCTCTCCCTTTCCTTGTCCAAATTATTCTCCCCCTCCTCTTGTGTGAGTCTTTCTGAAGCTTTTTATTCCAGTGGGGTGCAAGCCCTTGGCAGCCTTGAGAGCCAGGGCAGCAGCTCAAGAGGAGCTGTGACTCTGAAACAGTGACCATCCACAGTCCAACAGCAGTAGTTGTAGTTTGTACCTGCACAGTTAACCAGAAATGACAGAACATGGCAGTGGCATGAATGACCAGCAATAAAATCCATCACCTCATCAGCTCTGCAGATGAAAGGAAAGGACACCACGGGCTGACTTTTGTATTTCAGTGGGGTCACATCACGTGCCTTACCTTGGTACTTACTGTCCTTGCTTCCCACCTCTGTATCTCCTACAAGGTGTGCACAGTGCACTGGGACACTGCTTTATCCTTGAGATAATTTATGCCAGCACTGCCCAAACTCCTGTGCTAGCACGGCACCAGCACAGGTACCACATCAGGGGAAGGGGAATGGTCTGCAGAGGTTCAGTCATACCCATAAGGTAAGCAGGACGGGTTCCTTTCCTCTGATGCTCTGAGCAGCCCAATTTCTGGGGTAAGGTGAGTAGCCTATACTGATCTCTCTGCTGCTGCCTGAGTTGGTGTGTTTCAAGCTAGCTGGAACATCTTCTATCCCTGCTCTGCAACCACTTTCATAACTGTCTCAATCTGTTTGCTTTGAGATGGATCCGAATTTCTGCTCTCAAAACAAAAAATATCTTGTCAGTCATATTTTCTTTTTTCTACTCTTTTGCCTCTTGGCAGCACTGTCTAGATGTGCTGTTCTGCACTCTAAATCAAAACTGATTGTGACCTTCATATTATCTAGCCTGGATGATTTCTGCTCAAAGTCCCTTTTTATTGTCTTATCACAGATAACTAAAAGTTCCTGTGTAAAAGGACCCTTTGCAACTTTTTATTTCCTTTTGGAACTCCACAGTACAGTCAACTGCCAATTTGCAGTACTTTGGGCTCTTTTGCTGCTTGTCTTCCCATCACTCCCAGTCTTATTTTAAATCTGCCTCTTTAAACCTTGAAAGAGACACTCCCTCTTCCCATAGCACCTCATCTGGGAGCTGTGAGATGGACCTGGGCTCACACATAACGAGGCAGCCCCAAGCATTAGGACAAGATGAGACCATGTCAGGCATGACACTCACAAAAGAAATTTAAAACCAGAAAATGCCATATCTTGCCTAAAGCTTTTCTTTCTTTTCTAGGCCTGCTGAGTTCATAGTCATTTACTTAAACACAAGAAGAGCTCTGCTCTTACACAGAGCATAGCTATTCACAGACCAAAGGGCTCTGGAGATCAGTGCGCGGTCTCTGACAACAGCCAGCAGGAGAAATTTAGAAAAAAGTGCAAGAATTGGGCACACAGTGTGCTCTGTTTTACAATAAATGCTCATACACTATAGCAAACTGTGTGTGAGGCCCTCCTGCACTGGAAATTGAATCTCTTCCTTCATTTAGTAATTGCCCATGGATTGATGACCCTGGAGTCTAAATGTGGTAATTTGTACGTGCAAATATTTTTAATATGTTGTTTGTTCATTTTATTTAGTGCCTTCTAGTTCTTCTGGTGTTAGACACAATGAATAAACATTCTGTGTACTGAATCCACACCATGTACTAATAAAATGGTCTTGCAGTACCCCTCAGGTTTTTTTTGTAGAAAAGCACTACTCTTAACAGTATTCAATGCCTTTTTCTGTGCTTGCTGCCATTCTCTGCACCTTCTCTAGTGCTACTCTCTCCAGGATGGGAGAACCAAATGGCACACAGCAGTCTCTCTCTGACAGATTCAGATAGTGGTGCAACACCAGTTTCTGCTTTGTTTTCTCTCTCAACTACCCCTCATCACAAACCTTGTATTTTTCCTTCAAAGCAGCATCTGCTCAAGTCCCAAAGGCCAGGTGGGAACTAGGCAATAGAAACCAGCAAACCAATGGCTGCTGTGGAGGTACCACTGACTCTGAACCAAAACAAGCACGCTCTGCTGAGGGGTATCTCCCTGTCATTTCTTTACCCATGGGCAAGCTCTGAGCCACCTCCATGGCAGGGAGACAAGAAGGGGAGGAAGAACAATGCAAACACAAAGACTTCTGGCTCAGCAAACCTGCAACAGTAGGCTGAAGTTAAGGGGAAGCTCAGGAGCTTTTCATCAGCTCTTTCAAGAACACGAATATTCTGCTTCCAGGGCCTGCCAGTGGAGGGCTCAGGGCAGGGAACCTGGCACCCAGACAGGCAGAAGGTGGTTCTGCTGAGCTCAGAATGAAGCAGCTGGGGGTTGATGGAGAGCTGGAAAGTGAGCTTTACCTGCTCAGAGGAGATTCAAGCTTTTCCACAAGGAACTTTCATGCAAACAATAATAATAAAAAAATTACAATTCCTCATGTAATTTGCCATTCTGAATAATATTCAAAGCAGTGTTCACTCACACTTAACTTCTTACAAAGGCAATCCTACTGACCTTTTGGCATGACACATCTAAAATTATGAACTCCAAGTTCTTTTTGGAATCATTCTGGGCAATATGATCAGAAGCATTGAATACAAAAATCCCTTTCTGACATTGCTCCTGAAATTAATACACTGCTCCTTCTATAAGGAATCCTTTGGCAAGGCTTACCTGGCAAAACTGTGCATTAGTGAAGAAGAGGTGTTTTAGGAAGCCAGTGACCTGCACGTAGAGTCTCTGGTGATCCTCTGGATTTTCAGAAGTGCAGCTTGCAAGTGCTGAACTGAAAATGGAATCAGATACTGTATTTAATTTTCTGTTCTGTTCTCCTTACTTTCTCTCCTCCATATTTTATTTATAAATTTTTAAAAATCAAACTGTTTTCAAGATGGTTCTGATATTAAAGACAAGATGGTTCTCATATTAAAGACAACAGCCAAGCAAGACGGGGAGGAGTTGTGATGGATCCGTTGATAAGATACTGTTTGCCAAGTGCAAGGCAGATAGATAAGAACAGAGATACAAGAAATGGGAGTCACAAAAAGGAGATCTGCTGATATATTACAGCATAGTAACACTGTTCTGGGGAAAAGCAAATTTCCATTTAAAACAGACAGCAACAATGGTTATTTGGGAGTATTTGGTAGGGTTGTTCAGAGGGACAGCTTTGACTTCTGTGAAGTTTTTGAGTGAATGCAGTAACCTGTGATCATGAAATTACATGTTAGCTATACCTGGCAGGTATCCATTTAAAACAGACAGCAATAATGGTTATTTGGGAATGTATTTGGTAGGGTTGTTCAGAGGGACAGCTTTGACTTCTGTGAAGTTTTTGAGTGAATGCAGTAACCTGTGATCATGAAATTACATGTTAGCTATACCTGGCAGGTGTGTTCTCAGGTAACTGTGGCACAAAGCTAAGCTTTTCATTCTAGACCTCACCTCTGTGTTCTTCCTGGGGTTTTACAAAGTTCTGCCATCACACCTCTGTCCAGAATTACAAGGTGCAGAACAACAGGCAAGAAAGAGAAAACAATAAATGTTGACTATTGAAATACCAAACTGATTTGGGACCTAAAACAGACTTTAAAGATTATAGTAATACTTTGCAGTATTAAGGAATACTTAATCTTATTTTAAAAGCAAATGGAAATTGTGACCTAATAAATGTTATTTAATAAATAAAAATTTGTTATGCTTTTTCATCCCTTCAAGTATATTTTGATCATCAGCCAAAACAAACTTATTTTAATTTATTCTCTTCTGGAAGTGCAGCCTGGAATTGTGGTGAAAGGAAGAGATTCACATTAAAGATCACTCTAAATGTTGAAATATAAGTAGAAAATGGGATTAAAACCCCAAGGATTAAAAACACTATTTGCAAAGAGAAACAATCTTAACAAAGACTAAGTAGAAAGAATACATAAAAGATGAATCATAATGTGATTTTCCTCTTGAGGAAAACAACGTTTTTCTTTCTTTGGTCTACTGGGAAAAATCAAAGGCAGTGCCAGCTTTGTATCTGACATGTTCTCTTCTAGGTCATTCATCTGAACTGAAGAGGATTATTTAAAAGGTCCTGTGTTTCTTTGGTGTTACTGTTCAGGTCAACCACACTTCAACCTGATCACCTCCATGTGGCTGAATTAGGGTAAGACAAGGGAGAAAATGTTAAAAAAAAATTCATTTTTGTTTCATTAAATGAGTATGGCTTATGATTAGCTGATTTATTAGGGAATGCCTCTTGGTCCTCACAGGCTGGTGAGAGAGAAAAAGAAAGCATTACAAGTATTGTAAATTGAAAAGACAGAAAGCTGTGCAGAGAGACAAAGAAAATCAGGACCCCAGTTATCCTGAAGTGATGGGTCTCTTAGTAAGTGATTCTTACTGATTCTGCTGTAAATGACCATTACTTGTTTCACTTTTTCCCCTTAAAAGGAAGTATTATTGTGAGCACAGTTGCTGGAGGCTGCTGTTCTGACCATTTATTAAAAAAGAGAGCTGTTGTCTTACTCCACAGAGCACTTGCTGTGGACTGCTGACAGTGGGCTATGAATGTACTGTGTCTACCAAAAGGGGGTGTGTGTAGTTTACCTCTGGCTGGACAATCCCTGAGCCTTGCTTCTGTCAAGGAACCCAGCAGCAACATCAAATGCATCTTCAAACATCACCTAGCAGAGAAATCACTTCAGATGTCAGCATATCTAGGCACCTAAGAAGTTTTACCTAGGGCATAATTTTTAATAATTAAGTTTTTTAAAGCACGATATTCTTTCTTTACATTTAACAGGTATGGTTACAGCTAGAGTAAACCAAGAGATTTTGTGGAGGCAGGAATAATGTGGAACAACTGTATTTCATGGCTAGGAACACAAGGTCAGTCCACTCCCTTAAGCCTGTGCTTCAACCTCTAGGAATTGGACTTCACATTACATCTCCCAAAAAATCAGTAAAAACCATGGACTGTATCAGTGCTTTAGAGACTCAACTGTGGACTGCTGCTTATGGCTGGAGATCTCAGCTGTACCAGCCAGTCTCTCCAAAACTAACTCCAGTCAGACAAAGGAGTTTGGATGCTCCTTGTGCCAGACCACTGAACTCCTCAATTCACTCTGCCATAATGCAGTTCACACTTTCTATGCCAGAAATACCATACAGGGAGCATTCCCACGACATTTCCTAAGGCAATGAGCAATATCAGTTGTGTGCTGTGACTCAAAAAGAACACACCAATGCCATTTACTCACATGCTAAAGCTAATTACTCACATTAGCTTCCTTGCAGCTAATGAAATTACACAGACCTCTTTGAGCAGCTAGTTACTTCAGCAATCAGTGCTCCAGGAAGCATTGATAGAACTGGCTGTTATTTGCTCTGCCTCTTATTAATAAATGCTCTGGTCTACTCAGTCACTGACTTCTTGGCTCTGCAGAGGTGCATGGTACAGGCAGTCATTGGCCCTGTACCACTGGGACTGGTCTAAAAATACTCTCTCTTTGCTACCAAGTGCTTTGATGAAAAAAACCCACCCAACCCAAAACACAGCAGGCTTTGGCAAACTAGGTATCCCTTCTGGATTTAGATCATCTGTGCTCTTTGGAGAGTCTGCAGAGCACAGTAACTGTCCCTGGAGCAAGGTAGCAGCAAATTTAACTGTTACTTAGCACAGAAACTCCACAAGTCAGTGAAGACTAGCAGGATTACTACCACTGCACTTCTGTAGCTCACTAGGCATCTTACCAAGAGAATGTCTGGTGCAGACATTTACTCAAAGACTGCTTATTGTCTCCATGTACACATTCAAGTGATCTTGAGAAAATGTAGTTACTACTACTGCATGTTTGCAATTAAAAGCTGCAGAGCCAATTAGCATCTGAAGGCTTGGAGTTTCAGAGGCAGACTATGAATGTTGCTGAGCACTTACTTCCTCTGGTGTGGAGACTGAGGAACCACTGGCTTCCTCACTGTTACCTCCGCTGTCCCTCACACTACCTTCAGTGCAAGCAGGCTCTGGGCAAGCAGCCTTGGGATCCATGAGGAAATCTCTCTGGCTACAGTACTGCAAGATGCTGTCCCTGCTCTCTTCAGAAAGCTCTTGCCAGAGATGGGAAATAGCTGTGGAGACCTCAGGAAGAGGCACCTCTCCAGTGCAAACAATTCCATGCTCTATCAGCAGGTCCACTGTGTGCTTATAAAAATACAGGTATCTGGAAGGAAAGGAAAGGGAGTATCTCTTAAGAGCAGGCTCTGAGGCAGCCATCTACTGAAAATCAGCAGGACACCGGGGAGTAGCTCTGATCCATAACTACTTCACTGACTCTGCCTCCCAGACTCCACACAATTACTGAATGGTGCCCAACACTGACAATTTCACCTGCAAAAAGCTCTAGCTTCAGCCCCAGCAGGACTGCCTCACAACAGAAGCCCCAGGCACTGCAGGCTGTAGGAGTTGCACAGGCAAACCTCATTCTGGAATTTAATACATTTTCAGTTACTTGCCTTTGTATCCTGAACCTTTTGTATTGTAAGTCACTTTTTATACATTAACTGGCATTGCACTGCACTTTAAAGCCCTGGCTGAGGTCATACCCTGATGCATTAGGTACTGTACATAGAGACAGAAAGACACTACACCAGGTCTGGATGCTCCAACTTATGCTTGGGAGCTCCATTGTACATCTAAGGAAGCACATCCCTAACTCTGACTTCCATGCAGTCTGTAGTGAAACTGGTGGTGGAACACAGGGGTCATCATTTCAACCCAGTGACTAAATCTCAGAACAAGCCTGCTTCTTCTGTTAGCAGTGTGTGGCACAGCAAACCAAGGATAATAATGTCTACTTCAGAAAGAACACTGAAGGTTATTTTATATTAATTAAATGATTAGAGAGTCTCAGACAAAAATAAAAAGATCAAAGTAGTATAAACCAAGATCTCTATAAACAGCAGTCATTGTTACTATGTTTGGGCTCAAAATGATTCCTTGGAAGATGTCCCAAATGAGCATATTTCCTGATTAACTGAACAGTATTGTATGTTGAGAAAAGTAATTCAAAAGAAATAGTTCTTTTTTATTTGTAAATATTTGTTCCAGCAAACCAATATAAAAAAATTTTGTAGGCAAACATAAACCTGTTTAAACCAATTTTCCACACTCTGGAGCACTTTCCATCACTGATGGAGACAAAATACAGGAAATGGAATAAGCATTCTCATGTAAGGTATTGCACTCACTAAGGTTTCTGAATGTCCAGCTCCAAACAAAGGACCTGGAATTTCTCAAGCAGAAGAACATGAACCACCATTAGACTGCTCTGCTAAAGAAATTAAGTTTGAAGCATGAGTCAACTACTTCCTTCCCAGCTGGAAGGAGACAACCTCATTTTGCACTGGACAGACTACTGTGAAGTCCTACCAATGTATCTCCTGCTGCTGAATGTGGGAAAAAACCCAGTCAGTTGAAGCTCAAAGCATTTCTGATGCTTCCCAAATAATGTGATTAAATGATCACCAAAAGGCTGTTACTTTCTTTGCTGAAGGGTCCTTGTCATTTTATGCCTGTCATTTTTTTACCAGAATTAGCTACAAACCAAATGCAATCTGCCTAGGACTACAAGATAAATGCCAGAGCCTACACAGTGCAGGCCCTGGTCTACCTCGTCAGTAAAGAACATGGAAGCCAGGTGTTTACGGCTCTGTCGCGCAGTCTTTGATGAAGCAGATTTTTCTAATCCTGAAAATCTTGATTCAGCACATTCCAAGGTCTTCTAAACGATACCTTAACTACAGCCACCCGCCAATCTAACAGGAGCAAAAGCAGGAGCAGGAGTGGGAAGCTGGTGCCATCTGCTGGTCCAGCTGCAGGAAAAAACCCGGTGATCAAAGGGGTTTTTAGAAATACACAGCAGTTCAAAGCAAAAGGGAAGAAGGAACTGCAGAAGTTTTTTGCTTTGGTGGTGATGCCGTGGAAGAGGATGCCAGCTGCAGCTCTGGATTCTCCTGCACTGCGTGTTGTTAACTGGGGAATGGCTAGGGTGGAATTCACTGCTTGATGGTATAGGATAGATTACACATGCATCTATTTCTCATATCTTGGCAATAAAATAATTGTTTATCCTGTTGGAAATGCAGGATAAAACCTCTAAGTACCTCCTGTGTTGTCTGACAGGAAGGGGAAGAACATGGAGTATAATACTCAGTTTTAAGGTATCACTAACTTTGGAAAAAAACAGTCATTTTACCATTATGACTTTCAAATAAAATACATGGACAACTGACATGAGAACACTAGTTTTTGACTTTTAGGTCGTGCATCAGGCATTTAGGAGCTTAAAGGGACTCACATGCAGTAGCTCTAAATGTAACACACGAGTGTTTAGGTTCCCCCCCCTTCCCCAGTGCTGCAGACAACCTTGCATTGTTGCAGAATCCTTGTGGTATCTTCCAGACAACCACTGTTCTGCGGGCCAAAGGCTGAGGACTACAAGATCTTATTTGGTAGAATCCAGCCTTACCCTACTCTGATCCCACTAAAAAAGTACTCCAAGCTGCCAGGAGCTAGGGTCTGCTTCTGGAAGGGGCAACAGTGTTCAAGCTCCTCATAACAATGCCATTAGAGAAAGGATGAGCATCACTGTGAGGAAGAGAACATGCTTACCTCTGGTTCCTGCACCTCCCTGGAACACATGCAGCTAGACTCTTGGCAAATTCATCTGGTGCAGCAATTCCTACCCTCCTAAAATCTAGCCCCATGGCAGGGACACAGTGGTAAAGTGTGGCAACACAGGGACTGATACACTTGAAATAAATTTTCTTCTTTTTCTTAAGAGGTGAAAAATCCTTGGGATTTACCAAGGCCTGGAAAGCTGGGGGCTGCTACAACTCTAAGAGTCCATCCATGTGCAAGCTGCAGGGACTTAGGAAGTGATCAGCTTCATCACCAGCAGGGCCAAAGTGCTGGCACAAGGCTTCAGTGCCTGCATGCACAGTGATAATGCAAACAAGTTAAAAACCTGAAGGCAATGTGGGGTGCACCTACCGCTCAAACTCCACTAGATCTGGAGATAAAGTGTCTGAAAACTGGACCAATTCTGGCTTCTCATATTCTTCCAGTGTTTGTTTTTCACATTCTTGAAGCAAATACCAGATGGCAGAGTCACTTTCACTCATACCTTCTGAGGCTGATGTAGTGCTGGAAAGAACACAAGGGAAAAAAAGCCACATAAAAAACTTCCTAAGCCAGCTTTTTTCTCCTTCTTTTGCTTTTAAGGCAATGAGACATTCTTGCCAGAGATCAGCTACATGGAAGGGAAAAAAATACAAGCACTGCCTGGAAATGAGACCAACATCATGCTTAGAATGTTTGTACACTCCATGGGATTACAGGTGAAACCTCTTTGTCCTTTCCTCATGAGGTAAAAACCTCTGCTTGGAAATACAGTAGCAATGACAAAGAGTTTCAGGGATGCTGGGATGGAAGCAAGTGCAATGTCTTATCATCTTTTCTTGACTGGTACAAGCCCTTACCTCTGACTGCCAAATTGCCTCCTGACATATTCCTCCCTGACTTCCTCCAAGCTGGATGGGCTCCCATCCTCCAGACTGCAGCTCGCTGTTGTCAGCAGAAAGGTCACTGTCACATCAATGCCACTTTTGGCTCCTCTCTCCCCCTCAGCCCCAACCAAGCAGAATTCTGCCAACAACTGGTTCTTCACAAGACAGAGCTTTGCATTAGGCAAAAATGATGTGAAAGAAGAAACATCTGTCTCTCCTAGAACACAACTAGCACTACTGGGAGTTTATGAACACTGAGGAACCTAGAGTCAATGCCTTCTTCCTAATATTGATTTTACAGAACTGATGGTGAAAACAACCTGCAAATCAAACTGGGCATGCACTAGTCAATAGTTTTTTTAATCAAAAAAATATCTTATAATGAACAAATTGCATGTGAAAAACTCTGACATCCAGCCTGTGATTCACAAGCTGTGAATTTTACATATATGCAAGTACACACAAGGGGAGGCTTGCCTCAAACTCCCCTCAACCAGCCTCCCCACTTGTTATCCTTTCAGTTTTGCTCTGTCAAACTATTCTTTCTACCTGTGACTCACTTTTATGGGTTATCCAAGGATGTGGGTTCAGATGAGGTTGTTCATTTTAAGCACTGAGACTTCTAATTGATTCAAATTACTGGAGGTGCAAGTCACATGAATAGCAGGGTTTTTTTTCTAGCTGACAGGAATTTGGACACTTCAAGGGACAAAAAAACACGTCCAAAGCCTCTATGCTATCAGCCCCTGGTCCTGCTTGCTGCTAGCAGAGGCAGTGGCCAGCAGCACTGAACAGAAGGCCCTGCAGCAGGAGCTGCCACAATGCAGACAGGACCTGCTGGCCAGTGTCACCGAGGTGTCACAGGCTGTAAGAGAGCAGGGCTTGAGAATGGCCTGCCAAGCTGAAAGAAAACAAAACTGCAGCACCTCTCTTAACATTTATATCAGAGCACACTCTTAACCAGAGGCTTCCATTTCCTACCCTAGGAAATCCTTTTATCTCCCACCACAGCGTGCTGTGGTGCAGTCTAAGCTGGGGCAGGGCTGGGTGCTGGTGACAGCTGTGACTGTGCCACACTGCTGTGACCAGGAGGAGCACACAGCTCCTGCAGGAGCCCAAGGATGCAGCCTGGGGACCCACGCCAGCCCCACACCTGCTGGGGGGAAGCTGCCAAGTGGCCTGCTGCCACGAGACAGCAGGAATTGCTTGTTCCCCCTCTTCACCCAGGCTGGGAGGGGGTAGGAAAGGCTGAGTCAGAGGGGATTTCTGAGATAGATAGATACAGTGCTCAGTGGATGGACAGACTTCTCACTGTGCCTTACTTATTGCTACAACTAAAGCCACAGCTGGCTGCAATGCTTTAATGGGCCCAGCTGTGTACTTCTGTCTCTAACAAATACATAAAAACCAAGTCCAGGCTCTTTGTCCAAGCAAATACTTGCATAGAGTTACCTTTCATCTTCAGCAAAGAACACAAGGTTTGCTCCAGCTTCTGGATAGATGTCTTAGCCTTACGCAAAACCTGATACTAAACATAAGAAGAAAACAGAACTGATTGTTCTCTGCTCTAACTAGATTCATGTTTTAACATGCCTGTGTTGCTTTGCTTCTCCTTCATGTCTACCTTCAGTAATTTCCATGTCTCTGTGAAAATATATTGTGAAAATAGTGTTGTTTCACTAGCTACTACCCTTATACATATGAAAACGGAAAAGCATTAATAAAAGAGTAAACTTCAATATAGAATATAAATATTTGGGTATCTCTTATGCAATACATACACATAACACCCAGTCACACAGACATTTGCTACTTAACTCGGATCTGTTTTCATCAGCAAATGGTCTTGTTTGGATCGTTCTCTTCTTGGAGCATGTCCAGAAATACCATGCTGTGAGTCTTGTTGGATGCCTACCAACTTAAGGCATAAGATTTTACTAATGACTTCCCATGAGACTTTTGCTAGGAGAAGCCTCTGCCATGTTCTACATTGCTGTAACCTGGATTACAGCAGCATAAAACATGGCAAAGGCTTCTCCTGGCAAAAGTCTGGATTAACAGGATTAACATCAGTGCTGCACATCATTCCTCCATCATCTACACCAAGTAAAACTAAAAACATGTGGCCAGTGCATTTAAACATACACATCTCCAAAATATTTCAAGATTTTTGTGCGTGGTGAGACCATCCAAATCTACCTTGCAGAGCTGGGTATTTTAGCCAGGCACCAGGCACTAGGGTTACAAGCAACCTTCTGTCTTAAGACTTTTAAGGTATTAAACTACCGTGGCTCCCAAGAGTCACAAGACACTATGAAAAAGCAATTTCAAGAACTGGCATGTGAACACAGTCCCCTGAGACCAGGCAAAGGAAGCAGTGTTTAGTCTTGGCTTCAGGTTAACTTGTGTCTTGCTCAGAACGCGGCAAACTGAACTCTTACCTCAACCTACATGAGGGCTAAGGGACTCAGCAGGCACAAACCACATACAGTGGTATATTTAGCATATTCAGGGGACAATTCCTGTCCTAAACAATCATTACTCCCTCTACTTTACAAACTGGAAAACTGAAGGTAACTAATGGAACTCAATAAATCAGTAGATACACCTGAGGTTTGCTCCTCTGCCTCGAGCATGGTAATTTTAGTCTTTTCAGTGTTATTTTGAGTAAATTTCATCTTTATAAACAATTTTGCTTAACTCCTTCCTTAATTTTGCAACTTCTTCCTTTAGTTGAGACCAAGAAACAGTATTGGTGCTTGTTTTTATTCCTGAACTTATTTTTCCACTGTCTTGAAGACAATGTGCACCTCATAACACTGAATGAATTATTCCTTTCCCTCTAATTCCTCCTGTCCCTAAACTCACTGTTCTGATTTCAGAACAAAATGCTGTGACATCAGCTCGTCATGGGATCCCTTGGTTTGTTTCCAAAATACTATAAAAGAAAATGCGAAGCCATAAAAATGCTGCAAAAAGCCTGCAAGAAAAGTACAGAGAAGGCACATGATAAACTCATGACCCAGCAACTACAAACTGGACAACTCGCTTAGGCTGAGCTGGCAGTTTTAGAGATCCAGGAGAGGTGCATGAGTGAAATTACACACACACTGGCACCCATAAAGACACAGACTGAGCCTACACCTGGAGCGGTGTGAGCGTGCTCATGCTGTACAATGCTGCAGAGAGAAACAGTGGCTGTTCCGCACCTTGGAGGCACAGCTGTCTGACTGGGATAAAACTCTTCCCCGCAAGCTGCTGAAGAGTCTTGCCAGAGGAACCCAGTGGTGTGCCTGTGGCAAGTGCTGCTTTGCCATGCAGTGTTCTGCCTCCTGCAGGTGTCTCAGGGGATTGAGACTCACTTTGGCATGTGTCTTCCTACACCCTCCAGCTGTGCCTGTTGAAAGCTGCAATGCAACATTTATTTACACTGAATAAATAGCTAAGTGAAGGGAAAGAAATCTTACAGCCTGCACAGTGGATAGACAAAAAGAATAAAAAAAATCTGCCTGACTGACAAGAGCTTATCTTTCTGTAGAAAATCATGGAGTTTGAAATATTTTCTATGCCTGAAAGATACCTGCCTGTTAAGTACTTACTAAAACCTAATTCACCACTAACGATTAAAAGCAACCCAGCTGAAGCCAGCCTCCCATCTCCTGCACCCTTCCCTACAACGCTTTATGTTGCATTTCCATGGAAAATCCAGGGCTTGGCTTCACAAAGCACTAAGGCTCCTCTGCTCCCACCGACGTTGCTAAATGACAGGCTTCTTTACAACACAGAACTTTTTCTTTTCCCAATAAACTGTGACACATTGGTGTGGGCAACGATACCAGACATACTCTTGCACGAGAGGGCCAGATCCAGGCCCAGCCGGGCCTGACACAGCCTGAGGCGCCCGCCTGGAAAGCCTTTCCCGGCTTTCCACTGGATTAATGCCCCCTGCCTCGCTACCGACCGCAAGCACAGCCCAGAGGGAAGAGTGCCCGCCCCTGCTGCTCCTTCTGAGGTCGGGAGGCGCGGGCCGGCCGGGGGAAGCCCGTGAGGGGCCGCGCCGGGAGCCTGTGGACTCGCCCGCTCGCTCCGTCTATCAATCCCGCATCCATCCGCCCATCCATCAATCAATCCATTGGCACCGCCCGCGCCCCGCCCCGCGCTCTGCCGCCCGCGCCAGGCAACACCGGCCGCACGTGGCGGGCGGCCAATCGGCACGCAGCCGGCGCCCGGCGCCGACCAATCAGAAGGCGGGAAAAGCGCGGGCTGGGCGCGCCAGCGGGGTGGAGCGTGGGGCAGGGAAGGGGCGGGCAAGGCACGCTGGGAGCTGTAGTCCGGGGCCGGGCCCTCCCCGCCCCGCCGTGGGCGGGCGGCGCCGCGGGGCCCCCATGGCGGCGGCAGCGGAGCGCACGGACGAGCTGGTGCGGGAGTATCTGCTCTTCCGCGGCTTCACCGCCGCCCTGAAGCAGCTGGACGCCGAAATCAAGGCGGACCGGGAGAAGGGTTTCCGGGTGAGCGGCGACCGCATCCCCGTTCCCCCGGGGCGCTGGGCGCGGGTGCTCCCCGAGGAGGACGCGGGCCGCGGGCGCCGCTTCGCGCTCCGGGGGCCGAGCGAGGGGAGCGGGCCTGGCGGCGGGGGCAGCCCTCGGAGCCACCGCGCTTCCCCGCCAGAGCG